TATATATATATACACATATATATATATTGACCTATATGCAACATTATTTGTATGCAAAAAGCCTAGACGGAGGTTGACATAGTTGTAACTATAATTTTTACAGAGGGTTGGAACCATGTAAAATTGAGGGAATTAACAAAAAATTAAATATGTCATGTCTTAATAAACGTTTTTAATGATGATTCTTGTTTAGGTTAGGGGTTACAGCAGACAAGCAACAATTCCCATGGAAATCTAACCAGACAAATACAAACAATACACATGCAGCTCAACAGTTTAAAAGCAAATTCACTCACCCACAGCCAACATCAGCCACCACTGCTGCAGGATCATGGTCACGGAGTCAGGACCGGCCAAGCAAGGAGTGAGTATTTATCAGTCCTGGGAATGTGAGAGGAGTTTCCCACGTTCCCAAGCATCACTCCCACTGCCACACACCTGCGTGTAAAACATATCCCTCTGCCACACAAAGGGCTCTGGGAATACAGGACCTTTATCAACATAATCATCTGCCACTGTAAAGCAACAGCACTCAAGGGGGCTGTTGCCTGCAGCTGTGAGGTGTCGTCAGCATCATTTTGTCAGGGTCCCTTAAAATACTTAGAAGCCAAATTATAAGGGAAAAGAACAGAATAGCTTACATATTAGAAACAAGTCAGAATCATGATATATTATGCCATAATCAGGATGAATTTATTAAATCATGACAAACTAAATTGAAATTAGGATTTTTCAATCTAAATAATGCAGATTGCCAAATCAAAAATTATGAAAATGTACAATATTTTGGTTGATGATCAAATAACTGATGCCATTCCAATTTGCTGAAGAAAATGCAAAGCACACACACTTACACAAGTTATTATGTTTAACAGAACAATAAATACTTTTAGTAAAGAAGCAACCTACAGCTGTGATGTTTTTTTGTTTGCTTTGTTAGTAATATCATGCTAACATGATGTAAGATAGGGCATGTGCAGCATTGTTGTTGTGAGAATGATGATAGTTAGCTCTCAAAAGGTTAAAATGACCACTTAGAATCTACTGGTTTTGATTTACATTTCGTTTTGTGAGTATTTGTTATCTTTGAAGATGGGTCTCCTTGAACACAGCTTTGCTTACACACCATTAATGTAAAGTTCTACCCTTGTATATTCTGTCTATGTTTCCTCTACTGACACACACACACACACTTACCTTTGCTGTGACTCAATTCATGCCAGGTCTTTTTATGAATATATTTTTCAATTTGCTTGGAAAAACTCCTTTTTGCGTTCATTTTATCACGACAATATTCGATAGTACAACTTTTTGAAAGTTATCAGTCACTCAGGCAAAACATTTGTGTCTTGAAAGGGCGCACGTTTTCATCATAATCTCCTCCCTTTAGGGCGGAGTTAATAAGTGATAAGGTTCGATACTTCATTCTGTGCATCCGTGTTGCTCTGAGCTTCAAAACAAGCATCTCTAGTTTTCAATCAGATTAATGAAACTGGTACCTGCGCGGCGGGCGGGCCTAGCTAAACTTCAGGAGCTAGTGGGTCACGGTTTTCAAGAATAGATATGGTAAAGTAACTTATTATTATCACGTTAAATACAAACTATACATGGTTTTATAAATTGTTAACAACGACATTTGTTGTGATATTTTTGCATCAGACAGGCACTTTTGGGATGAAGGCCGTCACAAAAATACTAGCGTTAACCGATGTTTTCGAGGAGGACTCAGAAAATGAGAGAACATTTTACGGCTATTCTGATTCTGACAGTGAAATCGACGTAAAAGACTATTAGTGACTTTTCCTAAATATACTGCAAGATCCAGCATCAGATTGAAAACAATAAATAGATTTAGTAAAGGCAATTATTGGTTGTTTAACGCTGGCAAATTAGGAATATTGTCGTACGATAATGTTACCCTGTTTGAAAACAGAAATGCAGCAGTTCTACTTGTCTTTAACGAGAGGTTGTTAAAATCAGATCAATTTAACTTTGAAAACTTTGGTGTAAGAGATGTATCAGCCAAAAAGAAATTCCATTGGATTTTAATTTGTTTTCCATCAGGATTCACATTTGGAAGATGAAGACCAGCCTGACCTTTCACCCAAGAAGCAGAGGGCCACATCTAAACCATTTTCTGGGCCCCAAAAATTCCAGTTGAGAGTGGCACTTCGCTCCACTCCCTCTACCCAGCAGTCCACTGATGAAGAGCAGGCAGAAGATGAAGAGAAGATGACCAAGAAAAGATTGCTAAAGCGGGCAGGAAAGACCACTCCGGCAAAGAAGAGGAAACGTGTTTCATGTGAAGATGTAGAGACAGCCGTAGAGACAGCCGTAGAGACAACCCTAGAGACAGCCCTAGAGACAGCCCTAGAGACAGCCGTAGAGACAGCCCTAGAGACAGCCGTAGATCCTGAGAAAGATCAAGGATCCGATTCAGCAGAAGATGTACCTGGCTCCTTCCTGGACAAGAGAGAACGGACCATCAAGGCCAACAAAGCAATGGTAAACCAGAAACTATTTACAGTATTGTACTATTTGAAAACTGCTTGATTTAACAGTGGTTCCCAAAGTAGTGGCTAAGTTAATAATACGAAACAGATAATAAAGGTAGAGCTGTTGGGCCAGGGCCTGGATATCATTTAAGTATATGTCCTTAGATTTGACTAATGAATGAAAGTTCATGAAAATGTAATAATATTTGAATGTAGTAAAAACTGTATTAGTTTTTAGTGCTATAAAAATATCCCTGCTACACTGACTTGAGAAACTTCTAATTTGACCTTGTCTATAATTGTTCACTTCATGTTTTCTAACAGTTGGCTCAGCTGATGTCGGACCTGAAGAAGATGCCAGGAGGTGCAGGGATTCTGAAAAACCAAGCCGGCCCAGAGATGAAGAAAGAGAAAAATTCTGTGAGCTAATTTAAGAAAAAGTATCTCACAATAGAGATGTTTTTGCAGTTTTTAATAGAAAGAAAAGAGGAGGTGGAAATACAGTTAGAGCATTCATATCTTGCTTGAAAGTGTAAACTATAGGAGAAATATATTTAGATACAGATAGATGGCTACATTTTTTAAACTGAGAATTGAGAAGATCTCTGTTTTTAATAGTTTTGTTCCGAGTTGATTTTATTAACCATCTGCTGCAGCGTCCCCCTCGCTCTGCTGCAGCTGCAGGAGAGACCAGGAGGAACCCAGAGCGGGTGTCTCGCAGACAGACTCGCTCTATGGGGGGATTTGAGGGACCTTTATCCCCTAAGAAAGAAGAAGTGGAGTGGAGCTTGGAGGAGGAGCTGCTGGAGGTCAGCAGCACATTCATTTATCAAGGACAAGTGGAAAATGTTTAGAAACACATTGTACTACAGCACTGGATGTGTCGTGCTGTAGGAGGAGTGTGGGTTTGTTTAAAACTACATGAGTGTTGTATCACCCTTCAGCAACATTATACAAGCGTGGACATGCTACATTCCATTTGATCTTTGTAATATGTACTGTAAAGTGGTTAAATAGCTGAGCAGGTGTTGGTCTTTTTGTAGGGCTAGCTAACCTATTTGGTGTCTTGTCATTTTCTGGGTTAAACTTAAAGGTGTCCTATTATACTATTTTTAGGCATATATTATAGGTCTCAGAACCTGTTTTGCTCAAAATACCAAACGGATCACCCATTCTAGCATTCCTCATACCCCTCTATCCCAGCCCTGTTAGAGAAGTGCTGATTCTGGGTCCGTAGCTTTAAAAAGAAAAAAAGAGGAGAGCTCATGCAGGAGGATTCTACCCAGATACTCAGCTAAATACTGCCATGATTAAACGCCATATTATGCTCCAAACCACATCAAGGATTATTTCTGAAACAGTTTGGAGCTCAAATGTTTTCTCTCTCACAAGTTTGCCACAAGGTGGGTACCTTTTTATATCCGTTTTTTTTACACATACTCTCTCCAGTACAGCATTAGCTCTCAGTGTTAACGATGCTTGCTAATGTAAACACAGACCATGGCCGTTTCTCAATTTTGAGTACACATGCTGCAGAGCCACTATTTCAGGTAGACTACGTCATAGAGTGACGCAGAATGCTGGGCATTTAAACAGTCCTTCGGCGCCACTCGATGACGTAGTATACTTGAAATAGTGGCTCTGCAGTATGTGTACTCGACATTGAGAAACGGCCCATTTAACTTCCAAAACACGTCGTGCATTGTTTCTGATAGGGCCGCGGGCGTAAAGCCAGCCCACATTTCCGATATGTCGTCACGACCGCAGCAAATCTGGATCAGCTCCGTTGTTCCCCCGTTTTTAGAGATGTGGGTAAGGAGGAAAAGAGAGGGTTGTGTTTTCGGACACTTTGTGAGTCTCCTGACACACCGGGGACACATATTTATGTAAAAAAGACATTAAAAAGTGAATTTTGCATGATGGGTGACCTTTTTAAAGCTTAATAACTTATAATCGTCTTTTTTTCAGGTACGTCAAGCCCCACGGCGTCGTGCCCCGCGGCCTACTGCGTGCAAGCCTCATTGTATCCGTCCTGTGGAGGACATCACAGAGGAAGAGATTGAGCTGGTGGCAGACATCATGACTGAAAAAGTCTACAACAGAGACACAGTGAGTTTCCCAGCTCTACTCTACCTGACATGCTCTTTTTTTAAATATGTGTGCCCACATCATGTGAGGTTGTAGCCAAAGCTAAAGACAATGCATGACATGTTGTAGAATGTCAGCGTACCTGTCGACTTGTTTGTGTGTTTTCAGGGCACGACATGTCATCAGTGCCGTCAGAAAACAGTTGACACCAAGACGTGCTGCCGCAGTGAGGACTGCAGAGGGATTGTGGGTCAGTTCTGTGGGCCGTGTCTGAAAAACAGATACGGAGAGGATGTAAAGAAGGCTCTGCGCGATCCAGTGAGGCTGCTAACACACTAATACACACTTTACACTGTTGTAGATGCACCAAAGATAATCTCAGTTTTTAAAATGGGGAAATTGTTATTTACCAAAAATATCAAGTGAGATTTTGAGGCACGTTTTATACACATTTAAAATGGCTGTTTTTACAAGTGCATGCCGATTTTAAAATCCTGGTGTGGACATTATTGGTCAGTTAAAATAAAGTCCCAAGTATATTAGACTTTTTAACAATTGGATCACATGGGTAACAACTCTGTATATTTACACGGCCTGAAAAAGGCATTTACTGTGACTAATTGTATTTAAGGGCAAAGTAAATAAACTAACTTCCCTTCCAGATTTGTGGCATAATGTGAGCCTTATTATTTCTTTGAATTACAAATGTTTTTGTGGCATTCAGACTATGTTTTAAATATGGACATTTGTGTTAGTGTACCCTTTCCCCCTATAGTAGCTCTACACTTCTAGGAACCCTCCATTAATTAAGTGGCAAGACAAAAAATAAACAATATCTATCAGCCTGCTTCTAAACACCGGGTTGTTCACAGGCCACGTCTCTCTGATGTTCATTTGCAGCCCCTGCAGGCACCTCAAAGTATTGGCAGACTAGTGTTGTCATTAAATACTGATATATTTGTACATTTGTTACTTTCTCTCATTCTTAACCCAGTCATTTAAATGTTTTACTATCTGGTTATTTTCCCAGGATTGGAAGTGTCCTCCCTGTCGTGGCATTTGCAACTGCAGCTTCTGCCGGAAGCGTGAGGGCCGCTGCCCGACCGGCATCCTCTTCCCTCTTGCCAAGTACCACGGCTTCTCTGACGTCCACTCCTACCTCAGCAGGTGGGGAACTAATCGAGATTTCATTTGATACGTTTTAGTGATCTCAAGTTGCTGATCAATGTGAAAGAAACATCCCTTTTTTATGAAAGTGTTTATCTGGAATCTGATTTTTATATTGCTTTTCCATCTTAATAGTTACAGTGGGGCAAAAAAGTATTTAGTCAGCCACCAATTGTGCAAGTTCTCCCACTTAAAAAGATGAGGCCTGTAATTTTCATCCTAGGTATAACTCAACTATGAGAGACAAATGAGAAAAACAAATCCAGAAAATCACATTGTCTGATTTTTAAGAATTTATTTGCAAATTATGGTGGAAAATAAGTATTTGGTCAATTACAAAAGTTCATCTCAATACTTTGTTATATACCCTTTGTTGGCAATGACAGAGGTCAAACGTTTTCTGTAAGTCTTCACAAGGTTTTCACACACTGTTGCTGGTATTTTGGCCCATTCCTCCATGCAGATCTCCTCTAGAGCAGTGATGTTTTGGGGCTGTCGCTGGGCAACACGACTTTCAACTCCCTCCAAAGATTTTCTATGGGGTTGAGATCTGGAGACTGGCTAGGCCACTCCAGGACCTTGAAATGCTTCTTACGAAGCCACTCCTTCGTTGCCCGGGCGGTGTGTTTGGGATCATTGTCATGCTGAAAGACCCAGCCACGTTTCATCTTCAATGCCCTGGCTGATGGAAGGAGGTTTTCACTCAAAATCTCACGATACATGGCCCCATTCATTCTTTCCTTTACACGGATCAGTCGTCCTGGTCCCTTTGCAGAAAAACAGCCCCAAAGCATAATGTTTCCACCCCCATGTTTCACAGTAGGTATGGTGTTCTTTGGATGCAACTCAGCATTCTTTCTCCTCCAAACACGTCTAGTCGAGTTTTTACCAAAAAGTTCTATTTTGGTTTCATCTGACCATATGACATTCTCCCAATCCTCTTCTGGATCATCTAAATGCTCTCTAGCAAACTTCAGACGGTCCTGGACATGTACTGGCTTAAGCAGGGGGACACGTCTGGTACTGCAGGATTTGAGTCCCTGGCGGCGTAGTGTGTTACTGATGGTAGCCTTTGTTACTTTGGTCCCAGCTCTCTGCAGGTCATTGACTAGGTCCCCCCGTGTGGTTCTGGCATTTTTGCTCACCGTTCTTGTGATCATTTTGACCCCACGGGGTGAGATCTTGCGTGGAGCCCCAGATCGAGGGAGATTATCAGTGGTCTTGTATGTCTTCCATTTTCTAATAATTGCTCCCACAGTTGATTTCTTCATACCAAGCTGCTTACCTGTTGCAGATTTAGTCTTCCCAGCCTGGTGCAGGTCTACAATTTTGTTTCTGGTGTCCTTTGACAGCTCTTTGTTCTTGGCNTGAGCGGAGCAAAACACACACTTCAAGTTGGAACAAAAATCCCTCATCATGAAATGAAAGCTTTATTGTTTTCTGAGGTCAGCTAATCTATCTATGTACAGTGGGGCAAAAAAGTATTTAGTCAGCCACCAATTGTGCAAGTTCTCCCACTTAGAAAGATGAGAGAGGCCTGTAATTTTCATCCTAGGTATACCTCAACTATGAGAGACAAAATGAGAAAAAGAAATCCAGAAAATCACATTGTCTGATTTTTAAAGAATTTATTTGCAAATTATGGTGGAAAATAAGTATTTGGTCAATAACAAAAGTTCATCTCAATACTTTGTTATATACCCTTTGTTGGCAATGACAGAGGTCAAACGTTTTCTGTAAGTCTTCACAAGGTTTTCACACACTGTTGCTGGTATTTTGGCCCATGCAGATCTCCTCTAGAGCAGTGATGTTTTGGGGCTGTCGCTGGGCAACACGGACTTTCAACTCCCTCCAAAGATTTTCTATGGGGTTGATATCTGGAGACTGGCTAGGCCACTCCAGGACCTTGAAATGCTTCTTACGAAGCCACTCCTTCGTTGCCCGGGCGGTGTGTTTGGGATCATTGTCATGCTGAAAGACCCAGCCACGTTTCATCTTCAATGCCCTTGCTGATGGAAGGAGGTTGTCACTCAAAATCTCACGATACATGGCCCCATTCATTCTTTCCTTTACACGGATCAGTCGTCCTGGCCCTTTGCAGAAAAACAGCCCCAAAGCATCGATGTTTTCCACCCCAATGTTTCACAGGTGTTCTTTGGATGCAACTCAGCATTATTTCTCCTCCAAACACGTCTAGTTGAGTTTTTACCAAAAAGTTCTATTTTGGTTTCATCTGACCATATGACATTCTCCCAATCCCTCTTCTGGATCATCTAAATGCTCTCTAGCAAACTTCAGACGGGCCTGGACATGTACTGGCTTAAGCAGGGGGACACGTCTGGCACTGCAGGATTTGAGTCCCTGGCGGCGTAGTGTTACTGATGGTAGCCTTTGTTACTTTGGTCCCAGCTCTCTGCAGGTCATTGACTAGATCCCCCCGTGTGGTTCTGGGATTTTTGCTCACCGTTCTTGTGATCATTTTGACCCCACGGGGTGAGATCTTGCGTGGAGCCCCAGATCGAGGGAGATTATCAGTGGTCTTGTATGTCTTCCATTTTCTAATAATTGCTCCCACAGTTGATTTCTTCATACCAAGCTGCTTACCTATTGCAGATTCAGTCTTCCCAGCCTGGTGCAGGTCTACAATGTTGTTTCTGGTGTCCTTTGACAACTCTTTGGTCTTGGTCTTAGTGGAGTTTGGAGTGTGACTGTTTGAGGTTGTGGACAGGTGTCTTTTATACTGATAACGAGTTCAAACAGGTGCCATTAATACAGTTAACGAGTGGAGGACAGAGGAGGCTCTTAAAGAAAAAGTTACAGGTCTGTGAGAGCCAGAAATCTTTGTTTGTAGGTGACCAAATACTTATTTTCCACCATAATTTGCAAATAAATTCTTTAAAAATCAGACAGTGATTTGTTTTTCTCATTTTGTCTCACATAGTTGAGGTATACCTAGGATGAAAATTACAGGCCTCATCTTTTTAAGTGGGAGAACTTGCACAATTGGTGGCTGACTAAATACTTTTTTGCCCTACTGTACATGAAGTGATGGCGCTGACCTCTGCATTGTTTTATTTCTCTCCTTCCAGCCTCCGGAGTAAACTGAAGAATGAGGACAACGATGTAGAGATGTGATAACACTAGGTGGAGTGTTTGTTCAGTTTTATGGTTCAGTCTGTTTTAATACAAATAAATCATAACAAAGCTGTGATTTTAAATGAATAAAGTATTTTATAATCAGCTGATTGTTGTGCATGTTTCATTGAGACAAGATGGAAAAAAAGACAAAATATATTCATAATTTTAATCCAGCTGTTGGCATTTGCAGTAGTTGTTTACATACAATATAAAATCCAATATTAAAACGGGGCTGAAAAATAAGGGCACTTGTTTATACTTTGTTTATAGAGTTTCAAAGGAAAGTTATAAACATACAATTCCTGTCATAATAGAAGGATATTATTTTTCCAATAAAGCAGATTCCTGAAACAATGAAACGGGTGAGAATGATCTTTTCAGAAAAAATGTTGACCCTTGTATAATTACATTGCAACATTTTTTTTTTAATTCCTTAACCAAGGGATTTGTGTCTGGTGCTGTGCCTCAAGCTGGATAGTTTCCAGTTAGACCTTTAACATCTGCATACCACAAGGACAAAGTATTAGAAAGTTGACGGACCAAAGAAGGATTCCCTAGTTTTGCTTATTAAATGAGTATGAACCTTTGGTTTTGAGCTTACATATTTATGCTGTCTGGACATAACAAAATACTTCACTCCAGATATGACTAAAAAGAAACAGTTTTCCATCGAAAGAAAACAAACTGACACGACTGCAAGGCAAAGATGATGAGTATACCACAGGGGAAATCTCTTGGAAGATCTGTACTGTATAGAACACATTATTCTATGGCAGAAAGGCTCTTAAATTTAAACATGTAATCTACATATATATATAAAAGTAATAACAGAAGATTAAGATTTGATTGTGCATGAGGAGTTCATACAACGGAGAGGCAATCTCCTGCAATCATGCAAAGATGATCCGGCCCAAGCTGAGAAATTCTGTAGCCTTTACATTTCCAAAAGATATATACATAAAAAAAATCAAAATGTTTTGCTATGATAAACATGTCAAAGCTTGATGGCTTGAATAGGTACCTACAAAAGAGGTTAAAGAGTTATTCTCAGGATTTCAGTGCCCTGACACACCTACATCCTCACATGATCATAGCACTCCTGGCTCTGACCTGCACTCCTCCTAAAACGCTTTCCATATTAGCCCCAAGACACTGATCGTTAGTTTGAACCCAGAAATGTGAGAGAAAAAACAAAATGTTTATTGTTCTAAATTGTTAGGATTTTTAGGGATGAATTTAGCATTATGGGCTTTCAAGCCAAATACAGCAGCCCCGTCTGTCGGCTGGAACCACCTGATGTTTAGGAGGGCAGGCAGCTAAGCCCACAGCCTTGGAAACAAGTGAGAGTCCCTTAGTAGTGTTTCTCCTTCCTAAAGAAGCTCGTGGAGAGGGTATTACCAGCTGCCAATTTAATATCAAGCGTGCCAGTGTGTGTTACTGCAGTCCCACTATCAAGCAGGACTGAGTGCGTGTGGGTCAAATCTTGGTGTAGTGACATGTCATTTTAGGGGAAATACAATTTCATGATGATTTCTTAAACCAAACATTTTCATCCAACTCTGACCCTTAAACGCTACAGGTATCTAAATACAAGATGGAGCTTATTATTCCTGCCTCAATTGTCATAATCAATAGTGTCCGTGTGTTGCATTTGAGACCGCCTCTCCCGCCGGACAGGTTCCGTGTCTGCAGTCCCACATGCCCTTTTTTACCCCAAATGTCCAAAATGCATCATCCACTAGCGCCTGTCCTCCTGCTCCAACACAGTCCTTAGTAGCTGTTTCCGTTCATATGGTGAAGGTCCACCTGCATCATGCTGATCCCGCTGCTGGCTAATCGAGCTATGCTTTCTGCGGATAAGGTCTCCATGGTGACAATGGTGTGCTGTTCACCAGATGACACGGTGCCTGTGATGACTTTTGTTCCTGTAGGGGATGCTGGGTCGGTGGAGACCGTGCTGCTGCTGGTGGGGACTGCTTTCTTGTTCAAGTGGGTCTTGATGTGCTTGGAGAGGTGATCGCTGCGCATGAAGCGTTTGGGACACTCCGTGCAAACAAACCTTTTTTCACCTGAAAGAAGGGAGGAACAAAAGTCAATATATAAAAATACTGCAGCGGGTATTACCAGACTACAACAGACCATTTAAGAATGTTATACAATTTTGTATCTAAATCTAAATATTCTAATGAGAAGATGCAAGATAAGATGATATTATGCAAGATTGAAGTGGATCAGAATTGCATTATCCATTTTTATGTGATTTATTATCTTTAGTAATTTTCTGGCCTTTAAAATGTCAGATATCAGAAATCTCCCAAAGCACCAAGATGACACACTGAACTAGGGATGCACCGAATATTCGGCCGCCGAAAATTATCGGCCGAAAATGGTCAAAAAGGCCCTTTCGGCCGAAAGGGTTTTAGCACCGAAAAAATATCACCGAATGTCAGGGAACAGGGTTACGTTGGTAAGCTAACGTGTTGTTGTGATGACGTAATCAAAACGCGGCGACAAGCACGGCGCGCGACCATGCTCGCGGCTGGCTCACAGCTTGATTACGTCATCACAACAACACGTTAGCTTACCAACGTAACCCTGTTCNAAGGATTCTCTCTGCTTGTGTATTTATTGCTCTTTTAGATGGTGTGTGTGTGTTGGTGTGTGTGATGTCTGTGTGATGTTGGGTGGTCTGTGTGAGCATTAATTTAAAGGATTTGACAATTCATGTGCACGGTGGATTTTTGGTTTGTTGTTGAATTTTCTGAAGATGCAGGTTTATCTTGTGACCTCTTAAACTGGAGCGTTGACAGTTTAATCATTTGGATATCATTCATGACCTTTTTTTACTGAGAGTCAGATTTTCTTTGTTTGTTTTTGTGTTGTACTTTGCTCGTTAAGATTGATATTCCATCACTTAGGTGTTAAAGGAAGGCCAATAAACTACACTTACACAGGGTAACAAAACAAATGTCTAATTTAGGAAAAGGAAAATGAAACACACACAATTTATCCCAGAAAACGGGCTATGAATATGAATGTTGCTGTTTGAGCAACATGTCCCGTCTCAGTCTGATGAGGATTTCCATTTCACACATCTCAGTTTTTAATCATGCAATGCAATTTCACCCAAGCATGCCCAACAAAAACAAAATATGAAATTTGTCAAAATTGTCCTATGAGTTAATTAGGGGAAGAGAAATATTGATTCTTATCATATAAATACAATAGAGTTCTGTTTGTGTTAAAAGCCAAGTGCAGCATTAAATGTAAAAAATCCTACCTTTTTATTTTAGGATTCTGGTTGCTCTCATCACCACTGTGTTCAAAAACAAAAAGTAACATTTAACAATGTATTGGATAAAAAAAGAATGTCTATTTTCCATAGCTAGAATCAAAGCTTAAGTGACCCTTTCATGCGGTTTGTAAATCCAATGTTTGGTTATTTTGCGTGCCTTTAGCATTATTACTGCCACTGGCCCGAGTCTGACCATTTTTCAAAGCGTTGCAAGCTATTTTTCTGATGAATAATGTATTCATAGTCTGGAGCTGCAGACACGTCTCACTGTGTGTTCAGAGCCGCTTGACTTTCACACGTCTCTGCTGAAACGAGGCTGAATCAAGAGCCTGTCTCAGAGATCAACAGATGTGGGGAATATCCTGCTATGATTTCAAGAAACAGAAACTATCTGTGATGTTGAGATATTTCTAAGGCTACACGAGGAGGCTTTGTAATGGCTAGACTTACATATTTTCATGTGTGCGTTTAAATCATGAATTTTCATTTTATAAATATAAATGGAGTGTTCTTGTGTTTGCATAGCAAGTAGACTAAAATTAGTTGAAAATGTGGTGATTGACAATATTATCTCACTATATAAAGCAATACAATACACTAGTTTAAAGTTAAAGCTTTCCATTTTGTTCATCTGTGTCAGAGGAATGTTACATTAAATCTATAGCAATTTTTATGCCGTATTTCTTGTTCTTTTTAAATAAAGACACTATGAGTTAGAGGAAATCGACCAACAATTATCAGAAAATAAATTATAAGTAAGGCAAGGCAAGGCAAGTTTATTTATATAGCACTTTTCAACACAAGGCAATTCAAAGTGCTTTACAAAAAATGAAAGACACTAAGAAAATGGCATTTAAAATCAGTCATTAAAAAGAAAAGTTAATAAAATAAACATTAAAAGAAAAAATACATGGATAAAAGTTACAGTGCAGTCTAAGATATGAATAGTTCAATTAAAAGCAAAGACTTCAGAACAGGAGTGATGTGATCCACTTTCTTAGTGTTAGTGAGGACTCGAGCAGCGGCGTTCTGAATCAGCTGCAGCTTTCTAATATATTTTTTAGTGAGACCTGTGAAGACACCATTACAATAGTCCAGTCTACTGAAGATAAAAGCATGGACAAGTTTTTCCAAATCCTGCTGTGACATTAGTCACACATTTAATCCTAGATATGTTCTTTAGGTGATAGTAAGCTGATTTAGTAACTGTTTTAATGTGACTGTTGAAACTCAGGTCAGAGTCCATGACTACTCCAACATTTCTGGCTTTATCTGTTGTTTTGAATATTGCAGACTGAAGCTCAGCGCTAACTTTTATACGTTCTGCCTTGGCTCCAAAAACCATTACCTCAGTTTTATCTTTGTTTAATTGGAGAAAGTTCTGACATATCCAGTCATTGATTTGTTCAATGCACTTACTCAGTGCTTGAATTGGAGCATAGTCTCCTGGTGAAATTGTTACGTAAATCTGTGTGTCATCTGCATAGCTATGGTAACTTATTTTGTTATTCTTCATTATCTGAGCCAGTGGTAGCATGTAGNACACAAGCAGAGAGAATCCTTGCTCTGGTTCCTTTACAAACTGTGTGTCATGCTGTTTATCTCACTACAGAGTATGATACAGTAACATAAACCAGATAAACAGTTATTTAAATACACCAGTACAATTTTATAACAGCCACAAAATGAATTGCATCCTTGTAAAGCTTAAATGGTTCGGTTTTGGGGAAACTGTCACGGAAGTATCGGTTCATTTGTAATTTCCTTGCATTATATTGTACTAGTTAATATTTGTCCACCACTATTTATACACATTAAAAAAAAAAAAAACCGGCAAGTCAGATAACACACAGTTGTGATGTCTAGTAAGTATTTATCCTGTAAAACATTTGATGTTAACTGTCTTCTAAGATAAACAGATCATGAAAATCAAATCAAATTCTTGAGTGTGTGCCGTGTGTTTGCCAAGGTTCTCCGAGCGGTTATATAAAGAGGATTATTACACAGAAACTCAAACACGACCCTGCCTCAGCGCCATAAATCCAGGTGGCCTGTCAGGCGGTCGCAGCAGGAACGTGACGGACTGAGCGCTGCACACCGGCGTGTCTGCGGCAAAGTGATCATGACCACTTTAATAACTATCAGGAAGATTTGTACTTGTCACAGGCTCCTTAGATATAACATCCCATTCTCCGTGCTCATAAGCTGGGAAATAAATCTTTCACTCCCCGGCCTACTACAATAACAGCAATATATCAAAACAGAAACGACCTGTGGGACTGAAATTGATTTCCTTTTTTTTCTAGTGCTCGTTTAAATTCAATCAACTTTGGATGTCAAAATGCAATATCTACCACAGATTATTAAAATCCATTAGAAGTCAGAGCGCTATCTGGACCTAAAAAAACAGTATTAACTGTATTGCTGTTTATGCCAACATTGTAATTCCCCAAAATGTAGATCATTTATTTGTTTGCCTATGAAGCTCCACCTTCATATTGCTTCTTTAAGAAGGGTGATGTTTTGGTTCCAACTGACAATGGCTATCAGGAAAATTACCCTTTATTTTTTTTTTTATTCAAAATAACAAGATGTCAACATTCAAAAACCAACGACACCAAAAGCAACAGCAAAAATGGCCAATATCGAGGTTTCAAAACTGTGTTCCACAAACCAACGAGTCACAAAACAGTTGCTTCATCCACTTACTTTATCCATTATAAACTTCCAACTCTCTCATCGGATTAAAAAACTTTACAGGACACAGGGAGCTGTCAAATGTGGACAAATAGTCAGATTTTACAAATCTTTATCAGTACATAATTAATATAGTATGGGCTTGTTGAAAAAAGTGTTTCTTGTATTAGTCAGTAAAGCATTAGAAGTTGACAGCATGTCTCCTAGCAACACCGGGCCTCAGATGTCAGTCAACTGAAAACCCGCTCCCAAAGGCCTGAACTTAAACATTTTTACAACAAATATGTCTGAAATCGGTTTCAGCCTCTTATATGCAACTTCATTGTAGATCCTACACCAAAAGTGAGAAGAATTTAGATCTCTCTTCATCTTGAAAACGACAACACAGTTGTGATTTTCGTGTATAAATGTACAGTTACATTTAAATGTCATACTATCCCATCTAAACTAGAATGTAAACAACAATGTAAACAGTACACATGGACTCATATTTACCCATGGCCCTGTGCCAAAGTGTAAATTATGAATTAAACATCCTGATGTAAATCTAAGCTGTTTTTAAACCAAGCCAAATGTGTAGAGCGGGATGGGGCGTGCTGGAATATGCTTACACTGACTGAAATTGTACTGAAATGTACAACTGGCCGACGCAATTCAACTTCATCATAGCTGTCAACAGAGATAAGCAGTTCTTTCATGTCCGCTCAAATGTAGATTTTCTTCCACCTCGAACACACGCAAATCCAATTATGATCTAATTGAGTGTTACAAGGCTCATTGATTATGACAGAGGCAGTGCAGCAGACTGAGCCGGAGAAAAATATCCACAGTAATTAGCCCCCTGCACCCAGGAGGCCTTCAGCAGGCATGATTTAATAGTACTGAGGCAATAGTTCTCGATATTACTCAATTTGAATTGACTTGACCAACAATGAAATGCCAGGATTTCAAAGCAGATACACTTCCATCTTAAATCAAAGCTTGACTGCTTTTTGAAAACTATTACAAGCTCTGAAGTATAGTTCTAATAATGTCTATTAGACTATTTCATTGTTCTCTGAATAAAGAAAGCTGTG